TCTGCTTGGGACAGCAAAGAAGAGGTCGTCCAACATTTCCTTCCTCCCTCCTCCTCCTCCTCCTTGCCGGCCCTATTTCTACGTCTTCCCCCGGGTACTTACTGCCAAGACAGCCCTCTTCGCGTTGCGTTCCTACGACACTCAAAAATGGCCAAGCTTTTCATCGGGTCTGTCTGTCCTTTCAGCTGCTGCCTGATGCCGTCCTCTCACTAATCGTCCGCAGTGGCCTTGCCTGGCACACCACTGACGAGACCCTCCGCGAAGGTTTCTCGCGGTATGGACAGATTGAAGAAGCTGTGCGTCATCCCGTCTGATCCGTCTTTCATTCTGTTACTTGTACTCACAACCCCCAGGTGGTTGTCAAGGACCATGACACCCTCCGCAGCCGTGGTTTCGGCTTCGTTCGTTTCTCCAACGAGAGCGACGCCGATGCCGCCATGGGCGAGATGAACAACCAGGAGTAAGTTTCCATGCCATCTAGGGCTCCCCTGTCTTCCCGCACACCAACTCACCGGACAGATTCGATGGCCGCATCATCCGTGTTGACAAGGCTTCGGAACGGCCTAACACCCGCAACAATGGAGGGTTCCACGGTCGTGGTGGCTACAACCGCGGCGAAGGGGGCAACGGAGGCTACCGCGGTGGATACGGTTCGTCCTTACTCTACCCTGCTGGGTGGGGATCATAGCTGACTCGCAATACAGGTGGCGGCGGCGGTGCCTACGGCGGCGGTGGTAAGTTTTCTTGATCTTAAGATCACATCCCCTAAATCGGGATGAACAATACTGACCCAAAACAGGCTGGCGCGGCAACCAGCAGCAGCAATCACCGGGTGGCCTTGAGCCGTCTGCTTAAGCGTGCTGTTCCCGCGGACCGGTTCTTCGGCCTTTCCTTCTGGATTCTCCTTCTTTCGTGCACGTCAGTTGTTGTAGTCCATTCGGATGTAAAGTTTGGGAGAAATACACGAGCGCATGATGCCCAGGTTTTATGATGGTGACACACGATGAAACGACTACTGCTTCTTCTCTTTGACGTTCCTTCGTTGCGATATTTATGTCTCTTGATTTAATTCGCATCGCGTGGCTTCATTCATTTATGTTTTGTCGTTTACCCCAGGTCATAGTTGACATGTATGTAATCTGGCTTATGCTATACCTGATTTGAGCCGTTGTATGGTTCGGCAACCCTGAAAGATCTATTGGCAATTAATCTAGGTCCAAGTCCTGATCTATCCAAGCTATCATATAGCCATTCCCCAGAACAAGCGGGCGGGCTAGCCCTCTGCAGGCTAAATCTCTCCTCTACTCGGACGGGTGCCACGACTGGTCCAGCTCGCGCTGGGCGTCGGCCTCCTCTTGCGCCACGTCCTCCTCTTTCTGGAGGGCCTTCACCCGGCGCACCAGGTCCGTGACATGCATCTCGGCATTGCCGAACCCGAGCCCCTCGAGCGCCTTCTCCAACATAAATAGATATTCGGCATTCTTTCCACTCTGTCCCTCGCCGCGGCTGATGACCTCCGCCACGGCCTGCTGGTCCCGGAGGGCCGGATCGCGCAGGAACTGCGGGTTACTGGGCTGGCCGATATAGACCATGCAGGTGATCGGGGTAGAGGGCGTGTCGGTGGCATCGGATCCCTTGGAGGTCAGGACGGGGTGGAAGGGCGTGTAGTGGTCAGTGTAGCCGTCGATTTCCCGGACGTCGAGATAGTGGCGGACTTCGTTGGCGTGGCTAGCGGGGATGTGATACGCCGCGCCCCATACAGTGGCCGTCGAGGAGGTTTCATGGTGTGCTAGCTATTTATTTTTTTTAAAGAAAAAAAAGGGGTGAGATCTCTGCTGGTGCCGTTCTCTGGCCGAAGACAGGGGAGGGGGTCACTTGGGACTAGAATAAAAAGAAAAAAAAAAGCATACTGGATCGTCGAGCGTCTCCCAAAACTCTCGGTCAATCACCGTCAAGACCCGTCCCGGGTTCTCTGGCGTTCCACGGTGGTCGGTACTGCATGTCCGTCAGATGCTTCTTCTCGCCCGCCAGAGCGACGGTATGGCGTCGAGTCAGCCCGAACCCACCTAGCCTGTGTAGTTCAAGCCACCCGAGTCAGCCTCCAAACAGCCCAGCCAAGCCGCGTGCCTCAGGCGCAGCCCGGAGCAATGGAACAAAGAGATAACAGTAACATACCTGCCAGAACCGCCGCACATAACCGTTGATGTACCCGGGGACTCGCTGATCTGTATTGAGACTGATTAACCCGATCCCTGCCTACGCTCCGGGTTTCCAGCAGCGACATACCATAATGCGGCGGGGGCTTCCAAATCAGACTCCTTGAAGCGGTCAGGTCAGCCACCCAGCGTCACACAAACCATTTGGGGGGGTGTTGTTATCGCCCCTGCTCGATCTGATAGGCTTACCCGTAGCCGAACACCCAGAGGTCGCCCTCAGGGAAGTTCTGGCGCCAGTTGGCCTCGGAGGAAACGCCGTGCAATCCCTCGCTGGACACCATCTTCGATGCGTTCTGTTCTGTGACGGTAGCGCTGGTCAACAACCACCGAAATGTATGTATGTGTATGGATGGGTGGATTTGTCATGCGGGGCAATGGGCGGCGGCGGAATGGCTAGATGAACGTGGCGACACGACGCACCAAATGACGAGATCTAAACCCGACCAGCCTCGGCCGTAAAGATAAGATAGCAATAATATAACTAGCAAAAAAGACACCCGGGGCAACAACCGCAGTCCGAGAATCGGATCGTGCCAGAGCCAGTCAGTCCTGGTCTATCAAACCTCCGGGGCGCCGCGAGAAGCACGAGCGCCGCGACCCTCCACATGTTTGCACTGTTTGTCGCGGTCCCTCGGCAGGTTCCTCAGGCTCCTCCGCCAGTGCCCTGGACGCAAGCAAATTGCCTGGGCGCTCATTTGCTGAGATGCCATCGGAAAACAACCCCCCCCCCCTCCCCCATCGCAAGTGACCTCATTCCCATTCTGTTTTTCCCGACTGACCGACTGAACTGCAGAAGGATTTCCCCCCCTTGGCCGATCTACAAGTTCGCATCCTTCCCACGAATTGTCTGTCACAAATAAGAATTTAATTAAGCTCGCCCAAACAAACCTTGTCGGTTCCACTCCTGTCAAAACTCTGGCGGGATTATCGCCGTCCCGTGTGCTCGTATTACCGATATTAGGCCATCGCCTCAACCTCCTCGTTCGGTGCCAGCGGGGCGGGCCCAGACGCGGACCGGGTCTTAGCTCCAGCTAAGGGTGACTGGCATGGTGGCACCCCCTCAATCTCATAGCTGATCGCCATTATCGTCTAACCGGATCCAAATATCTTCAACTTATGCAGGTGATTATTGCTAGGTCGATCCTTTGGGGTATCCCTGTTCATTTTGATACCATACCATATACCACATACCACACACCAACATCTCTCCATCTCACCATCCATCTCCCTCCGTCTATATATGTTACTCCGATCCAAACCTCCATCATGGCCAGTCTCCTCCGCCTGCTCCGAACACAATACACTCCCCCGGTCGACCCCACGGGGGTATCATTCGCAGGCAAGACGGTGCTCCTAACAGGCGCGACGTCGGGACTCGGCTTCGAAGCCGCCATCAAGCTCCTAAACCTCGGGGTCGAGTCACTGATCATCAGCACGCGGAACGTGCAACGCGGGGAAGCCACGAAGACGGAGCTCGAGAAACTCACCAACCGACGGGGGGTCGTCCAGGTATGGCAGCTCGAGATGAGCAGTTTCGCGAGCGTGCAGAGCTTCGCGCGGCGCGCGAACGAGGATCTCCGAACCCTGGACATCGCGCTGCTCAACGCCGGTCTGTGGAACCGGGACTTCGCCGTGTCGGCTGAAGGGTATGAGGAGACGCTGCAGGTCAACACGCTGTCCACGTCGCTGTTGGCGCTGCTCCTCCTCCCGAAGCTGAGGAGTAGTTCGTCGCCGTCGGAGCCGACGCATCTGACTGTGGTTTCTAGTCAGCAGTTTGTGCGGGTGAAGGCGCAGAGTCTCCGCACGGAGGATCCGCTGCTGCGGCATCTGAATAGCCCGGCGTTCTTCAGGGGGCCGAGACAGTATGGCGTGTCGAAACTGCTGCTGGAGTATGTGCTCAAGACGGTGGCCGGGCGGGTGCGCGGTGAGGATGGGTCGGTCCCCGTGGTTGTTAATACCGTTAGTCCTGGATTCTGTGTCTCGTCTCTGGGTCGCCAGTATAGTCGGTTTTATGAGCGGTGGATGGTCTGGTTGATGTCCAAGCTGTTTGCGCGGACTACCGAGCAGGGCAGTCGGTCGCTGGTGAGTGCCACGTATCAGGGCGTGGAGTCGCATGGGAAGTGTTGGCGGAGTGATGGGTATTTAGAGTGAGTGCCTTTGCTTTCTTTCTTTCTTTATTTCATTTTGGCCCGCTAGTCCTTGGGGTTTGGGGTTGGTGCATCTGCTAACACCGCGCAGTGAATCCACAGCCTTGACGACCGGTGCGGAAGGGAAACAGTTCCAGGAGAAGGCGTGGGAGGAGATCTTGGATATCCTTGAGGAGCACTCCGATGGACTGAAGGAGTCGATCCAGAGATGGTAGAGATGATTGTCGGGCCACTTTTAAGACCATGTCGGGGTTGCCGTACCTACCGACCTGCTGGTACGATTGAACTAATATCTAGTATACCTATATGAGATACCCTTTCTAATAGTATCGTACAAATATTTAATCAATGGATACCAACTACAGAAGGAGTCCTAAGTAGGTAGTTGAATAACCTAAAATACCACGGAACCTGCTACATAACATCTCCCACAGTCTATACATATCACATCGTAAAACCAACGAAACTAAGCCACACCCAACCCCCGACTCCCACTCTAGCTACGAACTCACCAATACCACGACCCCCGCACTCCCAGAAGAAGAAAGAAAAAAAATCACCAAAGAAAGAGAGAAAAAAGGGACTTCCCTCATTCTAGGCTAGGGGAAAGCAAAAAAAAGAAGAGAAAAAAAAGAACGGCCCGAATCGGGATTCGAACCCGAGACCTCCTGCATTTCAATCTCATACTATTGTACGAGAGGAGTTTGTTTGTGCCACATAGTCCCCGAAGCAGGAATCATACCACTAGACCATCCGGGCGGTTGTGATGTCATGGTGAAGTTGACATTGAATATATTGTAATTATAGTGTGCGTGCTGTGCAAAAGTGTGTGTGGGGGATGGGGGAGGTGATGGTGAGGGTTGACTGGTAAGGTGAGGGGGTGTGGGGTGGGGTGGGTTGTTTTAGTATTACATGGAACGGAGGGAGGGTTCCATGGGCTGAAGATGGGTATGTTCCATTGGGTTGGGGGTGGTATTTACGTTACTTTACTTCTGTTTGAAGTTATTTGGTTGTAGTCTGTATAGATAGGTAGGTACCTAGCTGCTTCAGCATTATGAAGATGCATTCATGGATTGATCCGGTGATATTCTAGGGAAACTTAGGTTATGTGGGAAGGGCTTGGATACCTTACTTGCATTGTAAGTATCTTGGTTCTAAATGATGTCTGTATAGGTAGCTAGCTATATTGTCTACTCTATACTCAAGTGATGAAGCTATTATAACACATTACATTTACATACTGTGTGATCTCTGACTCCATTCTCGAAGCTAGATAAATACATAAGATCATCTCATTTCTCGTGCTCAGTGCCTTTCACCAGATGAGTCTACATTCCAAATACTTATTTTATGACTTTAGTGGCCTTGCAGAACAATGCTATACCAGCACTAGAGCCAGACTATAGGTATCATAATTCCATCTGTCTTTCCCTTCATGGAACTAAAGAGACTACCTACTCACCTGTCTACCTGATGCCGAACAATACCCTCTTGCGCCTTTCTCTACGCAAGTACGCCTTGGTGGCTGTCATTGCCACCTCGGGTCTTGAGTCCTGCAGGTCAGAACTTTCTATGAATGCTTTACCTTACAGCTTTGGGAATCACAATACAATACAGTAGATAAGTTGATTGATTGTTGGATTGTTCCTCTGGTATTGGCCCGCGGTGTATATTGTTCTATCTACCCGTGTTCATATTGTGGTATCCCAAACCATAAACTTCGGGATTGGGGGTGTTGTTGAATGAATGAATGGGGGGGCTTGTTATTATTGTATGGGGGCGGTGCACTGGAGACGGCATCTGGGGCACTGCGAGGCGGTTTTCACTTGGCGGTTGCACATTGGGCGTGTAATTCGCTGGAATTAAAGTTGGCAGCCTAATTAATTAATTAATTGTCTTTGTGGGTTCTGGGCATTGAGGTAGGCAGAGGGGGTCGTTGTATTGTTCTACATATGAAGAGGGGAAATAATAGTAGATAGTAGTAAGTAGATTGAATGATCGCTCTAGGGGGCAATGTGATATCATCTGATAGGGTGCGAGTGATCTATAGATGATATATGTTCGTCAGAGATAACGATCGTGTCAATTGATTTGGTCGTCTGGACGAACGGATATTAAATGGCAGGGCTGGTGTTTGGTCTTCTGTGGTGTTTGATGATGAGGTTGGCAGCAATAGTTATCAGGATGTTGAAATAACCAGAGCCGATCATGGTCCCTTGCTTCTCCCCTGGTGAGTGAAATGATCATAGTCCGGGTGGCTCAGGTCAGTGGAGCCCACCTCAGATCTGGGAGCCGTATTCGTATTGCTGCGGTGCTCCGTATTTAAAGTAGGTCATGCAGCCCAATTTCATATCCAGGGGGTTTGCAGACAGGACTGCCCATGTGGCTGGGAGACTCTGGTACCAACCGCACAGCAATGAACATCTCGAGAGCCCGATGCTCACACGGCTGGGGAACAAGCCGCGATGGAGACCCGGGGCCTTGTCGGGCAGGGCTGAGTGGGGAGGAAGGAAGTGCTGCGAGAGTCTCCGTCTCCGCCAGAGTTGGCATTCGGACTCGGGTGGACACCGCTTGCGAGTCCGCGCAAAAACCATCTGTTCATAATCAACAGAACAGAACCTAATCAGTCCCTCTACTTCCTCCTCCCCCCTGACCCTGCCCTCCTTTTGACCCCAGCCCATCCATCCCTTCTTCAATCGCCTCTCTCCCCTTCCCTTTGTCTCCCTCCTGCTGCCCTCCGGACTGGGCGCGCCCCTGCCAACCTCGCTGCCCCTCCGAACCGCGCCCGCCGTCGGTCCCATACATACATCATCATCACCACCACCACCATGGCATACAACCAGTCCTACAACCCCGATGCGCTTCCTGCGTGAGTCCCGAAAAGAGCCCTCCCCAGCAGCCCCGAGACGTCGAATGAGCTCGCTAACGCGCGATGAAAACCACACAGCCATGCAGAGCCCGAGCAGGTACGTTGGCCCCCAGATCCGCTGTGACTCGTCCATTGCCCCGCGGCTCCTGACTGGGCCGCAACCACAGGCCGCGCAGATGATCGGGGCGATGCAGTCGCACTCGCATCATCCCAAATCTCGCCCCCCTCCGCACTCGTCCTCGCACAGCAGCCACGCCTCGACGGGCGGCGTCCCGCCTCGAGTGCCCGTGTCCAGCGCCGCCAGCCCGGGCCCCAACCCCAACCTCAACCCCCAGCGGTTCGCGCCCGTCCAGCGCCCTCACCCTCTACACCCATCGCCCCCTCCTCAGAACTATGGCTTTGGACCCCCGCCGACCCAGCCGGTGCGCAATCGCCCGCCGCCCTCGTCGCGCCCGCCGCCGTCGCTGAACCCGCCCATGCAGGGGCTCCCGGACGATGACCCGCAGCAGCTGTTCCCTCTGTTCCGCGCCGCCAACGCGTCGCATACGGGCGCGCTCACGGAGCTGGAGCTGGGCTCGGCGCTGGTGAACGGCGACTTCAGCTCGTTCCACCCCAAGACCGTCATGATGATGATCCGCATGTTCGACCGCAACCACAGCGGCACCATCTCGTTCGACGAGTTCGTGTCGCTGTGGCGCTACCTGGCGGCGTGGCGCGAGCTGTTCGACCGGTTCGACCAGGACCGCAGCGGGCGCATCAGTCTGCTGGAGTTCGAGAATGCCCTGGTCGCGTTCGGGTACCGGCTGAGCCAGCCGTTCGTGATGGTGCTGTTCCGCACGTTCGAGAGCAAGGGCCAGCAGCTGACTGGCCATGGGTACGGGCCAGCCAAGCAGGGCATGAGCTTCGATCTCTTCGTGCAGGCGTGCATCAGTCTGCGACGCATGACGGACGTCTTCAAGCGGTACGACGATGACCGGGACGGCTATATTACGGTGAGCTTCGAGGAATTCTTGACCGGTGAGTGGCCCCGATGCGATGCTATCCCCAACGCGATCGATGCAGGTGCATGGTGGCTAACGAGGAGTAGAGATTCTCCACCTTGGGGACTAGACAGGAGACGAGGGATGATGGGGGACTGGACAGGCGTTCGATATCCGTTCTGGAGGCTTCCAGAAAGACTACTTATACTGTACATTAATTATACCCTTTTTTCTAGTAGCATTCCTCGCAACTGCATGTCTGTTGATCGTAGAAGAATCCGGGCGCAAATGCGGTGTGCATGCTGCATGCTCCGGGCATGAGGAACGGGCGTGCAGCGTGCAGCACAAAGGCCAGGTCACCAGCTATGTATGTACATGGAACATGTAGGATGTACCCCGTGCACTGTGTCTGTGTCTGTGTCTGTGTCTGTGTCTGTGTCTGTGTCTGTGTATGCAGCCCATCAGGCAGGCATGCGTGGCCGCGGCGAGTCAGCCGGGATCGCCCCTGAAATTCCCCGACGCCTCCGAATTCCCTCCAACCACAGCCGCCAATCCGCGTGCTGTGTGCGGTTAAATTCTCCCGTGAGTCCGATGGGGGAACTCCCCTTCACCTCCCCGGATGCTGGCCGTGACTCACCTGTAGACTCTGTACTACATCCTGGCATCACCTACTGTCCACTGTCTACTCATCCACTCATCAGCTGCGTCCCGCACGGACAAGCGCCGGGACCGCTCGCGATGGCCAACTTTGGCCTCCTCCGGGCGGGCCTCGACCGCGGTTCTGCTTATCTCCGAGCCCTTAACCGCGAGGATTGCGACGCTGCGAAAAAAATCCCCCTTCGTCTGCGCAATCGACGGCTAGTGCTAGTGCCAGCCTGCCTGCCTGTGCCAGGGCCGGGCCAAACAAAACCAGCCCGACCCCGACTGCGTTGCCTCGCCGATCTTGTCTGCAACCGTCGGTCCTGCCCGCCACTGCGAGGGGTCTGTCCAGGCCCATTCCTGTCTGTCGTGCCTGTCGCCTCCCTCTCCAGTCCTTCTGTCCTTCTTTCTGCCCTCTGCGACTCCGTCTCGACTCTCATCAGGGCCTCCCAGGGTCTCCCAGCATGACGCCATCCCAGGCCCCTCCCCGCGAGGAGGATCGCATCGCCCAGCCCGCCGACAATGGCCCGCTGGTCGACGATGCGGAGAAGATATCGCGCTCCGAGGCCGATGCCTCCTCCAGAGATGGCCCCGAGAAGCCCGACCCCAGCCAGTCTCCCTCCCAGGCCTCCCAAGAGCCCCCCTCGGTCGACTCCAGCGCCGATGGCCCCCTGGAGAAAACCACCACCGGGCCCCCGCTGGATCGGGTGCCCTCGCAGGCACAGAAGTTGGGGAAGAAGAAGATCGTCGTGGTCATGACGGCTCTTTGTGTATGCTCTCCTCCTCCCCGAAGGATTCGCCGTGACGGCGCTAACCCATGGTTGACCCTATAGCTTGTGTTGTTCCTGGCAGCTCTAGACATGGTAAGACTCACCCCCCTTCTAAACATCTACATCTGCTAACCAACCAACCCAGACCATCGTCTCGACCGCACTCCCAACCATCGCGACTCACTTCCACGCCTCCGAGAGTGGCTACTCATGGATCGCCTCCTCCTACATGCTGGCCAATGCGGCCTGCGTGCCCCTCTGGGGCAAGATCAGTGACGTCTGGGGCCGCAAGCGCATCATCCTCATCGCCAACTTCCTGTTCCTGGTGGGCAGTCTGATCTGCGCGCTGGCCATCAACCTCCCCATGATCATCTCCGGCCGAGCCATCCAGGGTGCCGGTGGCGGTGGCATCATCGTCCTCGCCAACATCTGCGTATCGGATCTCTTCAGCGTCCGGTCCGTCAACCCCCCTCCCCTCCCCTCCCCTCCCTACACCTCACT